TTTCGGGGTTGTGGGGAGAATTTGGGGGTTTTGGGGGCTGTGGGGAGACTCAGGGGAGTTCAGGGGTTATTTTGGGGGTGATTTGGGGCGGGGTTCCTGAAAACCTCTTGGATCCACCCGCCAATCCCCTATCACCCCCCGAAGTCCTCCCCGTAACCGCTGAAACTCCCCAAATCCCTCCAACCCTGACACCCCCCACGTAATCCCCCCCCAGCCCCTCAAAACCACCTAAAATGCCCCCCAAACCAGGTGGGTCCTCCCACCCGCCAGGGGGCGCCGCTTGTCTCACCGCTCAGACCCCGCCCCGTCAGTGTCGCGCCCACGCCCCGCCCATTTGGCGCATGCGCAGTGCGGGTTCTCCCCCCACGCCGGGCCGGTGCTGCCGCTCCCGATCCCGATCCCGGTCCCGATCCCGATCCCGGTCCCCATCATGGTGCTGGACCTCGACCTGTTCCGCGCCGACAAGGGCGGGGACCCCGACATGGTGCGGGAGATGCAGCGCAAGCGCTTCAAGGACCCGGCGCTGGTGGACGCGCTGGTGCGCGCGGACGGAGCCTGGAGGAGGTGTACGTGGGGGGATGGGGGGGGAGGGGCGAGACCCCCGGGAGGGGCGTGGGGGGACCCCTCAGGGGTTGGCACCCTCCGCTCCCTGTGCTTTGTCACCACCCAGCCTGCTGGTGGGGACCCCTCCCCGCGGATTTGGGATCCCCGGGATTATCGGGGTCGGGGATCCCCCCGCTTGCTGCTCCCAAAGGGTGGAGGAGTGGGAGACCCCCGGGATGGGGCTGAAGGGACCCCCGAGTGGTTGTCACCTCCTGTCCTCTGGGCTTTGTCCCCCCCCCACCCCAGTCACCCCCAACCCCACCCCCCAGTTAATGTGGGACCCCCCCCTTTGCTCCTCACAAGGGATGGAACCCATTTGGGGTCCCAGCTCCCCATTTGGGGTCCCAGTCCCCCATTTGGGGTCCCAGTCCCCCATTTGGGGTCCCACCCTCCGATATCGAGTCCCGCTTTATCCTGGAGCGTTTTATCCCGCGGGATCCCCCCGTTCCCAGCGCTACCCACCCCCTCGCGGGTTCGGGACCCCCGGCACGGGGCGACGGGGGTGGCAGAGGGGACAGGAGGTGGCAGAGGGCGACAGGAGGGAATAGGAGGTGACAGGAGGTGGCGCAGAGTGGCGGCCGCGTGGCTGATGCAATCCCGCGGTGCCCATCCCATCGCATCCCGTCCCATCCCATCCCGTGTCATCCATCCCATCCCATCCCATCGCATCTCGTCCCATCCATCCCATCCTATCCCATCCATTCCATCCCGTGTTTCCTGGCTCGGGGTCACCCTCCCGGGACCGATTCCCCCACCTGATTTGGGGTGACCCCGATTTGGGGTGACCCTGTTTTGGGGTGTCACCCTCATTTGGGGTGTCACCCTCTCAAGGTGACCCTGTTTTGGGGTGTCACCCTCATTTGGGGTGTCACCCTCTCAAGGTGACCCTGATTTGAGGTGTCACCCTGATTTGGGGTGGCCCCGATTTGGGGGTCCCAGCCTGGCATGGGGAGGGGGGGTCAGTGTGGGGGTCCCAGCCTGGAGTGGGGGTCCCGGGGGTCACTCCAGGTGTTTTCTTTCCCCACCCAAACCCCAGGGCATTCCCAGAGCTGCCACTCCCCCTCCCAGGGGGGGCTCCCCATGGACCCAGGGGACCCCAGACCAGTCCCACCCCCCTGACCCCCCACCCCTCCCCTCCAGGCAGGTTTCGTGCCGACAACCTGAACAAGCTGAAGAACCTTTGCAGCAAAACCATCGGGGACAAGATGAAGGTGGGCACCAGGGGGGCACCAGCCGGGACCCCCCACCCCTGCCAGCCCCCCACACCTCTCCCTGGTGCCCCCCCAACCTCTCCCTCCTGTCCCTGGGGGTGTTTCCCCCCCAGGCTGCTGGTGGGGGACCCCCAGGGTCCCTCTCTGCCACCACCCCCCCCCACATTGATCTCTGAAACCCCTTGAGTGGGGGTGACCTTTGGGGGTCCCTCCCACCCCCTCAGCCCTTTAGGGGGGTCCCTCCCCTCCCATCCAGCCCTTTGGGGGGTCCCCTCTCTTCCCTTCCTTCCCTCCCCAACCTTTTGGGGTGATTCCTCTCACCCCCCTCAGCCTTTTGGGGGGATCCCTCCATCCTTCAATCCCCCCCAACCCTTTGGGGGATCCCTCTCACCCCCTTCAGCCCTTTAGGGGTCCCTCCCCTCCCTCCCCAACCCTTTGGGGTGTTTCCTCTCACCCCACTCCTCAACCCCTCCAGGGGTCCTTCCTCTCTCTCCCCAAACCTTTGGGGGGTCCCTCCCTCCTCCACTCCCCCCCAGCCCTCTGGGGGTCCCTCCCTGCCCGCTCCCCTCCCCCTCGTGTCCCTGAGGGGGATTTTCCCACTGGAATTGTCCCCTTTACCCCCCCCCCCGGTCCCTGTTCCTGCCCTGCAGAGGAAGGAGCCGGTGGGGACGGACGAGTCGGTCCCGGAGAGCGCCCGGAACCTGGAGGGGCTCACGGCTGAGGTGCTGGGGGTGAGTGAGACCCCCTGTGTCCCCTGTGCCCACCCTGTGTCCTCTGTGCCACCCAAGTCCCCCTGTGTCCACCCTGTGTCCTCCCGTGCCCCCCATGTCCCCTGTGCCCTCCCAAGTCTCCCTGTGTCCTCCTTGTCCCCCTGTGTCCCCCCGGAGCTCCCAGAGCCCCCCTATGCCCCCCCATGCTGGATCCAGGATTTGTGGTGCTGGATCTGGGATTTGTGGTGCTGGATCTGGGATTTGTGGTGCTGGATCCAGGATGTGCTGTGTGGGCTCTGGGATTTGCTGTGCTGGTTTGGGATTTCCGATTCTGCATCTGGGATTTCCGATGCTGCATCCGGGATTTGTGGTGCTGGATCCAGGATTTGTGGTGCTGGTTTTGGGATTTGTGGTGCTGGTTTTGGGATTTGTGGTGCTGGTTTGGGGATTTCCGGTGCTGGATCCTGGATTTCCGATGCTGGATCTGGGATTTCCAGTGCTGGATCCACCGTTTGTGGTGCTGGATCTGGGATTTGCCGTTCGGGTTACAGGATTTGTGGTGCTGGATCCAGGATTTACCATGCTGGATATGGGATTTGTCATGTGCCGTCTGGGATTTGTGGTGCTGGTTTTGGGATTTGTGGTGCTGGTTTTGGGATTTGTGGTACTGGTTTTGGGATTTCCGATGCTGGATCCGGGATTTGTGGTGCTGGATCCAGGATTTGCTGTGTGGGCGCTGAGATTTGCTGTGCTGGTTTGGGGATTTCTTTTGCTGAATCTGGGATTTCCAGTACTGGATTCAGGATTTGTGGTGCTGGATCCAGGATTTGTGGTGCTGGATCCGGGATTTGTGGTGCTGGATCCGGGATTTGTGGTGCTGGATCCGGGATTTGTGGTGCTGGATCTGGGATTTGTGCTGCTGGATTCAGGATTTGCTGTGCTGG